CTGCCTTCAATCAATCCAAACAAAGAATTATTTTGAGCAAATAATATACCTGATGTTAAGCAAAGTTTACATAGAAAATGTTTCTAGCATTTTCATAAATAAGTTAACAAAATATAAAATAAACATTTTTTTTTCAGGCTTTACTAGATATGTACAAAGAGTAGACCGAAATCGAAAAAGCCAGCAAGGATTTACATATTACTTCGACATCATTCTACAGACGGCAGTACAGAAACCATCATAAAGCCAGCCGAGAAGCAAAATATTACCAACGTAAATACAGATGCAACTGCTATCAAGCCTCAAATCTGCTGCCCAGAAATACAAAATGTCATCATTGACACTAATGCAATGTGCAACACCAAAGGATGTAAAAGCAAAATCACAGGAAACACAGAATCTAAAGTTATGGTTAGTTGCACAGCCTGCAACAGAGCAATGCTCGTTAAAAACTGTTACGTTGACATGAGCACAACCTTTCAACTGGAAAAGGAAGAGAAGCAATTCAACGTTGTGGCAAACTATGCCACACTCAGCGTCTACCTAAACGAGGACATTTTCCAATACCGAAACAACATAGATGAACTAACAGAAAAACTTCTGTTGCTGGAAAATGTCGACTTCACATTGTCAAAAAACGGTAAATTTATTACCGAGATAGTAAATCACCAACTGCAGCCACCAACGCAAGAAAAATAAAAAAACGAGTAATAAAACCAAACATTGTTTCACGTTGGTGACCATCATATTTGGACACTGTACAATCTTGACATTTAAGGATAACTTCAAAAGTTCAAACAAAAATACTTTATTTTTAATTATTTTTTATATCAATGTTGTTCCACATTGAAATTTTATTCATACCACTTTACTTAATATCAGAGTTAAAAACACAATCGTCACTTAAAATAGATTTTGAAAAATATGTTGTATATATAGCTTCGTTCAAATTTCATACTTTTCTCTTTTTTCCACTTTTTATAAGCCAAATATATTGTACATACATGTAGTTCCATTAATTTTTTTCCATTTTGATACCACATCACAATAGTTATATTGACAAAAAGCTCTAATCAATCAAAAAAGATCAATTATTATAAAAATATATTGTTAGTTCCAGTTATAATTCATCCACTTATCGTTTTTACAGTTTATAATAATAGAACGTTCTATTCAACAGACCAATTTTTGAATGCCTTTCAAACAAATTCTATTTAAAATTGCCCTCTTAAGGTATAATTTTGTGTCTAATACCTGGTCTATTATGGGCAAAATGTCAGGTTTAAATATAATAATAAATTGTTCTTCAATGCTGTCTATAAATTGCTCTACAATGCCACCTATAACATTCCAATGTTAAAACTCACCCAAGTCCCTACATTCTGCTTCTTCTTGATCATGAAGAACAAACAAATCCTAAGTTAAACCACACATCAAAAAAACAACATCCCAAGCACTTCCCAAAACTACATTTTGTACACTTGTAGTATTTTGAGATCCAAAATTACTAAAACCAAAGTACTGAGCCGCAATTCCGTAACAACATAACAGAAAAATTACACAACTGTAAACAACAAGCCCAACTCAAAAAAAAAAAAAAAAAAAAAAGAAAATGGTACTGTTGGGCGGGGCAGCTCTAGTGAGAACTATAACTAGTTTTAAATATAGCTATTTTAACAGGATTGTAGACATATGGAATTCCCTGCCATACACAGTTCGTCAGGTACTTTGTATTAGCATTTTTAAGAGGAGTGATACTTAGCTTTCTCCTGGGATTTTGGCGATGGTGTTGTGAAGTGTTTTCTGTTCACAGTTTTACCTTTTGGGTTGTCATCCGCACCGTATTTGTTCACCAAATTATCAAAGCCTATTCTTACTTCAAGGAGGTGCAAAGGGGGTGGTACCAATTCTATCATGGCCAAAATCAACAGTTTGACAGTTCGCACTGATTTGACTAGGTACGGCTTTGTTATCAACGAAGAGAAGTCCCTTTAGGAGCCTGTTCAAGTTATTACCTGCCTCGGAACTGTTTTTGATACTTATCAAGGTCTTATTTCGGTTACTGAGCGAAGGGTTTCAAAGCTCAAGAGTAGCATTGATCTCTTACGTAAGGATAACTGTAAAATTTTAAAAGTTAGAGATGAAGCATCTGTGGTGGGCCAAGTCATCCCGCTCACTCCTTGTGTTGGAAGCGTAGCCAAAATCATGACACGTGCTCAGTACACCGTTGTAAATCAGAAACAGTCATGGGACTCTCAGGTTGAGTTGTCGAAAGAAGCTTTTGATGAATTGACGTTTTGGATAGACAACGTCAATTCTCTTTCCAACCGCCTGCTAGATTTGTCTATCCTAACGCATCAGATTACGCTTGTAGTTCTTTTACTGAAAAAGAATAGTACCTCGTGCGTTGTTGCTAGAGAAGGAGTTAATGCAAGAGAGTTATCTGCGAAGTTAATTACTGCGTTCATTTGCGACTTCTTTTCAGGCGTAAAGAGAGGACAATCGGTAAGCGTGTTTTTCTCTCCCCTTGTTGTTTTCGTTTTATTATTTGATCGATTATTGTTAGGCTTTTGTGCGCTCGTCTTTTTTTGTGTTGTTATGTAATAATCATTTTTATTAGCTTACCTCCTTGTAACATCGCTTAGATTCGGTTTTTTGGCTTGTATTTTAGTTTGACGTGTTTGACATCAGATTATTACTCTACAATAAATCGCATTGGAATCACGGTTATACGTGTCTGGTGTCAAATTTTTGTGCATCGACGTCCTTAGGACAACTTTGAATTGCGACATCCCTACGCTGTAAACGCCTACATTTATAAGGCTGTAGGAACTTTAGTTATTCCTATGTGGAAGTCTTCCTGTTTTTGGATTTTACGATGTGACGATGGAAAGCACTGGAACACGTTTGTACACGATTGCGTGATTCTTCCCAAGTTTGAGCATCTTTTTATTAGAGGTAAAGCCAAGAATCACGTTTTTGGCTCGAAGGATTTGTCCTTTAGTGTAGTAGCTCTGCATCTAATTTTTGTACAACCGAAAGACAATTGCTCCCTTTGTAATAGATTTTATAATTAGGGTCTTTGGTACCCACCTCTGGAGAAGTCTTTGGGTACTTCCTTTATTAGGAGCGTCGTTTTTGAGCTGGTTCATGCGTTTGCCCGCTCTCGTGACTGGATTTTTCCTTTATTTATGATATTATTACTGGTTTGTCAGCTACCTTTTGATTCATCATTTTCAAGTGGTAGATTTTATTTTTCTTGATTTGCATTTATTATGCACACTTCAATGAGCCTGTTTAAGAATACCTTCAGGCAGAGGTGTTATAAAATTGAAATGACTTCACTGTTGCACATGCATTCTTGTAGTGCCGGCATGGCGTCTCCTACTGATAATCAGGTGGTTTCTAGAGTTCGGGAAGCTGCTAAAAGAATTTTAGGGGCTGGGAGACTCAATAGGAAAGAGCCTTTATCAGTTGAAGTCCTCAAAGATATTGTAGAAGGAGCTGATTTGTCCAATGTTCTGCAGCTTAGAAACGCGTGTTTGTACATGTTATCCTATGCGGGTTTTTTCAGATCTGAGGAGGTTCTTAATATTAGAATGAGTCATACTCCTTTTTATGAAGGGTTCATGATTATCAAAGTAGACAAAAGCAAGACTGACCAGCTTAGGCAAGGTGACGAAGTGGTTATCGTTCAATCCGAGGGAAATGTTTGCCCGGTTTTCTTACTCAAAGAGTCCTTGAAGAAATTAGATATCAGCCCTGACTCTAGTAAATTTATTTTCTGACCGCTTGTTAAAACCAAGTCGTCCTACAAATTGGTTCGAGTTGATAGGCATATCTTGTATGCAACCTTCAGGGGCCAGTTAACTAAAAGTCTGCAGAACATAGTTCCTGATCCCTCTGTATTTGGGACTCACTCTTTCCGGTCTGGAGGACCGTTGAGGGCTGCCAACAGCGGGGTTAGTGATAGAGTTTTTCAGAGGCATGGCAGATAGAAAAGTGTCGTAGCTAAGGATGGTTACATAAAGGACGACATGTCTTCACGTCTTGTAGTCTCGAAATCTTTAGGAATTGTTTCTTTTCTTTTCGGGGTTTCATTCAAGCCCTGTACTTTTTTTTCTAGGTTGTTGTATAACGAATTGTTATATGTGCGGTGCTCGGCCAATACAGCCATAATAAACCTAATGTTTTTTCTAATTCAAGTTGTACTGCGTAGTGGAGCCGAAATTGCACGTTTTCCGCGCTTCTCAATTTGTTAATACTTTGAGGAATGCTATGTATAAACATTTTAAATCAAGACAGCTTAGGGATAAGATTTTTACTCTCCTTTTTTAGATCATTTTTGCTTAGATCGCATGACACGAGCAATAGCCCTTTCCCAAGATATTTCAAACGCAAAGTCGACCGGGAAACCTTAGCTCCAGAGAGAGGCTATGGTAAGTACACATCCAATATGGCGGCTAAGGAGACAGTTCCTCGGCGAGCGATTTATTGTTGTGTGCCACTTTGCCATAGTTATAGTGGCAAAGTCGTCAATGGAAAGGCGGTAAAACTTCACAGACTTCCAAAGGAGACTAAAGCTAGAAGGATTTGGATTTCTAGGCTCAGTAATGTGCGTCAAAGTTTTTCTGCAAAGTCTGGAACTCGAGCTTACAGCTTGCATTTTAAAGGCGAAGAAGGCCCGAAGCCGTGGTGTCAGTTTCCATCTTTGTTCCCCTCGAAGCCAGTCCAGGAATCCTTACTTCGACGGAATAGACCCTTGCCTAACAGATTGAGGGGATCAACGACATCTTCGAAAGTGCAAACTTGTCAAGAGCTGGCTGAATACTCATCGAGCACCAAACAAGCAGTGTGCAATGGAAACAACTTCCATCACTGTTTCCACGACTATATTTCAACCACTTCATGCAATTTTGACTTCCAGGGATGGATCAAGAGATAAAGGTATTTAGTTTTGTTCCAATTCTACTAACAGTGGTGTTCAAGCTACAGTTGAA